AACACTGAACCTGCTGTTCCTACTATTACAGTCACGCAGTCATCTTTTGAAGAGAATCGGGATGCTGATGATGATGATGTAGTACTTCATCACACTCAACAATGTGTGAGGCTGAAAAATTCAGAGATTTTAAGTGATCTCAATTCATATCTGAAGCATCTGTCTTGTGACCAGAAAAAAGATATTATTGCTTTAATATCTTAATTCAATTGTGTGTTTCACGATGTTCCAACACAAACAAATGTGTTGAAACATGATATTGATGTGGGTACAGCCCATCCTATAAAGCAGCATGCTTATCATTCAAACATGAATAAACGATAACTGATGCGCAAGGAATTAAACTACTTGTTAGAAAATAATTTGGCAAAACCTAGTCATAGCCCGTGGAGTTCGCCATGTCTGTTAGTACTGTAATAATTACATATTTCATGCTTTGTTTATTCTCCACAAATAAACATGTAGCAAATTATAATAATAATGTAGATTAACTTGCACACATATCCACATTAATAATCTGTGACAAATTATAATGTAGATTAAAGTGCTCGCATACCTACACCATTATTACTGTAGTAAATTAGCTCAAGGTTATTCTTCCCGCACCTTTCCCGCCGTTATAATGTTGCAAGTTATGATTTAGATTTCAATGCTCGCGTACCTTCTGGAACATTATATAGCAGGCTAGCTTAGCGGGAGGAAGATTCATTTGAACGGGGCTTCAAATAAATCGACTCTTTTGATCCGAACAAACGAATCGTTCAGCGATACTATCAACATAAAATTTGAGCAGGGTAGAAAGATCAAATTTCAAGACATTAGATTCATTAATATACACAGGCACCTTCCTTTATACAAAATTAAACTTTATTGACTAATCTAACACAAACTAACACCTAACACAAACACACATTCATACAAGCATAGGGAAGAGTAAGGTGAGGTAAGAGGTTGAGAAGGTGTAATGATGGGAAAACCTCTGAGTTTGTAAGCACAAACCAAGCAAACCAAACGCAATCAAATTCAATATAACCCTGCTATTGTCTCTTTAGGGTTAATTTAGTTCACACCAGTTTAGATGTTGGGAGAAAGGTGATACTTGCGGTCTGTTCGTGATGTCCGAGCTCCCGTTGTTGAGCACGTGGTTGGTTGGCTGATCCTTTGTCCCTCACGAGGTTGTAGTTTCAAGTTGAAGCGGCAAAAGCATTCTTGGCGGTAAAATATCCGAGCACGGTGCAATTAGCCCCTTTCTGTCTGGGCTTCTGCCTGCTTTCTTTGAGGTTTCTCAGTCTCTGAGGAAGTTGTAGAGAGTTGATGAAGGTTCAAAACAACGTGTTTCCAGAGCAGAGAGGGGGTGGGGGGGTTGGGGGTATGCCTGGAGTTGGGAGAGAGAGGGGGAGCTCCTAGGCAGCGTGTTTCAGAGAAAAGAGGGGTTTTGAAGAGAGGTCCCAAGAGAGAGAAGAGAGAGGGTGCGAAGAGAGATCCCAAGAGAGGGAGTTTGAACAGAGTCCTCAACTTTTATAGGGCGGGTTCAGATCCACCCTCCATGGAAAGTTGACCAATTAGAAGCTAACTTCCTTGAATAGTAATTTACAGCTCTTTGTCTGAGGCAGAAGACTTTGCATAGGAAAATTTTATGCAAATCAGAACAGAAATGTTAAAGTTTCTTAAAACGTTAATATGTTGCACTCATATTAAAATAAAACGTCAACGATCGATTTGTACAGCGAGTAAGCTTTTCAAAAAGTCCAAACTTGAACAGTATAAGAGGATGTTTAGCCTAGGTACAGTTAAACATTATATGCAGAGGTATTAAACGCAAAAATATTAATACAAGAGAAAGGGAAACTTTGCAAAACATATGATTAAACATAAAGAGAGTAAAGTTTATATGAAAACATAAGTGTTAAACAAGCAGTTTAAAGAGTCCTTTGTAAGTCAATCCTGTGTTTAATGCCGCATGGCACATTCCTTTGGGTCGTAAATACCTTGGAATCTAGTTTCGAGTCTTCTTTGGCAAAGTTGGCTCGGTAGTGGAATAAAATGCAAAATATTTATGTGTCTGGTCGGCCATATTCGTTACAGTACCAAAACCTGATGGTACGTACAGATTTTTTACAGATTATAGAAAGGTTAACTCTGTTACTGTTGCGGATAGTTACCCGTTACCACGAATGGAAGATTGCGTAGACAATGTCGGTACAGCACGTTTTGTTACAAAATTGGACATGCTCAAAGGCTACTGGCAAATTCCTCTTACTGACAAAGCTTCAGATATTTCTGCATTTGTTACACCTGACTCGTTTGCACAATATACATCTATGGCCTTTGGACTTCGAAATGCACCCGCAACATTTCAACCTCTTGTAAAGTTAATTCTAGGTGATTTACCAAATTGTAGTGCTTACCTTGATGATGTGGTAGTCTATTCTATGACTTGGCGTGAACACATTTCATTGTTAAAAGCAGTTTTTACAAGGCTGTTAAAGGCATCTCTTACGCTGAACTTGGTCAAGTGCGAATTTGGTCAAGCCGCAGTCAACTATCTTGGAAAGGAGGTTAGACAGGGAAAAGTGCGTCCAGTAGAAGCTAAAGTGGTTGCTATATCGCAATTTCTAGTTCCTACCACTCGCCGAGAACTGCGACGGTTCTTAAGAATGGCTGGGTACTATCGAAATTTCTGCAAGAATTTCTCTACGGTAGTTAACCCTTTAACGTCTTTGCTTAGTCCCTCTACACCATATGTTTGGTCTGATGCTTGTCAAAATGCTTTTTTTACTGTGTGAAAACCCTGTTATGTAGCACACCTGTTCTTTCTGCTCCAGATTTCGCTGCACCATTTAAACTGGAAATTGATGCTAGTGCTGTTGGTACTGGTGCTGTACTGATCCAAGAGGATGGAAATGGCATAGATCATCCAATAAGTTACTTTTCACGAAAGTTCAATAAGCATCAGCTTAATTACTCTACTATTGAGAAAGAAACTCTTGCTTTTGTTGTTCGCCTTACAACATTTTGAAGTTTATGTTGGCTCCAGTAACTTGCCTGAGCTTGTATATACAGATCACAATCCCCTTGTGTACTTATCGAGGATGTACAATCACAATCAACGTTTGATGAGATGGTCTTTATTAGTGCAGAACTATAACTTGGAGATTTGTCATAAGAAAGGCATTGACAACGTCATGGCAGACGCCCTTTCTAGAGTGTTAAGTCTCACTGAACTTTACGTTACAAACGGGGTTTGTTTTTAAGTGCCAGGGTGTTACGGCTCAGTATCTGTGCCTGTTTGTTTGTTTGTTTGTTTGTTTGTTTGTTTGTTTGTTTGTTTGTTTGTTTGTTTGTTTGTTTGTTTGTTTGTTTTTCTCTCTCCCCCTCCATCTCTACCTATTATTTTCTTTAGGTCCGCCCAGCTCATCTACCTATTGGCCAAGCTAGATGCCAGTCATCATTACCATTTGCGATGACATCATCATTGACCAATCACAAGCAGACTTCCCCACTTTAAAAGGAAGCCAGTGCAGTCGAAAGCTAGCTTGCTTTTTGCTTGCTCACTGTTGTGTGTTTGCTATGTTGGTTGACTGTGTGTTTTGCTGGATGGCTGGATTATGTGACAGTTTCTTGTGCTATGTGTGTTATAATCATTTGTGCTGAAATCGATCTTTAAAAGTGTTCTAATTGTGTTTTCTCTCTGATCACCAGATATATTACATTAATGGGATTCGAGGAACAGGGTAGATGTCACGTGACCTACATGTTGAAACACGTAGGAGATACCAATGTATTATACACACTAGTTTAGAAGTCTGCACCACTAATTGTAAGTTTTGTTTACGTTTGTGTTTAGAAGTGTAGTTTAGATAGGGCGTGAAAACGCTGAAGACTTTTCTTTTTCTTTCTTTTATTAGATAGTATAGAGATTGTGGGTTCTAGTTAGAGTTGTGTTTTGTTATATTATTTTCTTTTCTTTGGCGCCACTTTTTTTCCTCCTCCCCTTTATTACAATCATTTATTTATTCTTGTTTTCTTTATTTTGTATATACTTTATCATTTATCCACTTTGTAAAATAAACACTTATTTTGGCATAATTTGGTTGTTTGTCTACTCAATTGCCACCACCATTCATAAAAGGGTCATAATTTTTAAATGTTGCGTTAACCCTAGCGTTTCCATCTTAAATAACCATAACAATCAAGTTCATCATGAAGCCATCTTTTTTTTCTTTCTTTTTTTGCACTTTAATCTTATACTAAATCTATGCACTGATACTTTTATTATTGTTATTATTTTATATGTGTTAATTCAATCTCGTGCTCAGTGATAAGCACTGTTGCCTCACAGCAAGACTGTTGGCAAGACCAGCAGACTAAGGAAGAGCTTTTTCCCCAGAGCTGTCTCCCTTCTGAACTCTGCCCCTCACTGACTCTTTTGCCCCCCAATACACCCCCCACTCTCCTCTAACTTATACTCCACGCAATCACTGCACTATTTAACATTTGCACTTTTAATTTTAATTTGTAATTATGTACACACCCCTGTACATGTACATTTGTAATTATATTTGTCTATCTGCACAAATTTCTGGAGTATGTCTGCCATTAAAATGCTAACGCAAGCACAAAGAAATGACCTCTATACCTATTGTGTTTCATCCATCATATGTGAAGTAATTGTTCTTCCTAATGCAGTTAATGTTCAGCTGCATTATTCTTTATTTTAACTATTATCTAAAACTTTATTTACATTATTAACTGATAAACATTTGATTTATATGTTGTTGTTTTTTTCTGAAGTAAATTAAATATATTCTTAAATCTGCCATCCGTACAGTATATACCATACTATACCATTTACCATACTATAGCATAATATACAGTATACCATACCATACAGTACACGCGTTCATGGAAATCTCTGGTCAGCACAAAAGAAGTTAGAAAATTTGCAACTTAAAAATAAATTATTAAAAACCACTGCAATGAAACTAACATCAACTCACCAGGTATAAAGCCTTTTTTTCTCTGTCCAGTTGCTGAGTCACCTTGACAATCCCTGACATCGAGGTAACAGTGAAAATCCCCACAGGTGGCTGATCTGCCCCTTCACCTGTGATACTGTAGCGTATATCTTCATCAGGTACACCATCTAAGTTTGCCTTTAACTAAATGCAGGAGAGAAAAAACAAACAAACAAACAAACTGGGTTGTAGACCATATAAAGCTTTGCATTAATGTAGTTAACAGCTATACTTATTATACATTATTTTCACACACCTAGAACAGTATGTTTGAGAAACCAGCTTCACTGATCATTTTAAACTATATCTTATCAATGTAGTTTACAGCTTTCGTTAAATTATTTTCACAAACCTTAAACAGAATTTTTGGGAGAGCACTTTTATCGTTTTCAAGTACAGTAAAAGGAGGAATAGCCCACTCTCTCTTTCTTCTCCTTCGACCTTCTGAAGAGCTTTGGAACTCCTCAACCAAGAGATTAGAAAACTGTGAAATAAAAAAAAATAATAATTTAAAAATACAATTAGCATTAACATTCAAATGACTAATGCTTAGTTCAGACTGCGTGATTTTAGCCCCGATTTTGGCTCGCCGACAGGTTTTGAGAAATTGCCGACAAATGCCTGAAATCACAGGCAAATCGCTGCTTGTGCACGTGAGTGACAATCACACAGTATGAACTTTCAAAGACGCAATCTGAGAGAATCGCCGATGAGTCGCCGATGCCTGCGAGATATTTGGCATGCTAAATATCTGGAGCTGTCGGCAATTCAAATCATGCTGTGTGAATTGAGTTTTGACAGAAAATAACATCAGCCATCGCCTACAGCCAATGAGAGAGCAGCTTTTACTTGTGTGTGCGTGTGTGCATACCTGCTGCAGGCCAGCGGGAGGCTGGGGGAGAAGGTAAAAGCGCTCTTTTTCGGTTTATTTGGACCCACGAAATGGAGGAAAAACTAGTGGAGGTTTAACAGGACTCTGGAGCAACCGTGTCTGTTTGACGTTTCATACAGAAAGAAATTAGTTTATTATCAACGTTGAGGAGAAATGGCTAATTCCCTTTAAACCCAGGTAAGCAAACATGTACATGTTCTACCCCATTAAAGGCTTCTTTCTCATTATGTAGTTAATAACAAAAGATATACTACGTGTTTTTGGCTGTGAGACGTAGTTTGGACTAAGTTGTAAGCGATTCTTCCTATAGTAAAGTCATGCAATCTGAAAGCCCCTGTCGCCGATCCATCTTGCAGTGTATACAAAGCAGCGACGAAACGCTAGCCCAGATAGTCATGCAGTGTGAAAACATCTGTGACACGACTACTTTGAAAATTATGCAGTCTGAACTCGGCATAAGGCCATGTCCACACCAGTGCTGTAGTCAGGGCTATATGCACGTATACTCCATATGCCACTTTTTTCCACAAGCTGTTTGGGTATTATGACTTCTGATGATCAATAATTCCGTATACCCTCGGTATACTCACTCATTTTGCTGATTTAATTTCCCTAATTTGTGTATTGGTGTCCCCTTTAACAGTACACCAAATGTTTTTTTTTTTTTTAAACTATGAATTTAATTTGTTGCAATTAGTGCATCTTTAACTTGCTCCATTCCCCACCCCCTGACAACCATAGCAGAGTTTTTTGAAGACGACAACAAGCCAACTGAACTATGTCTCATTGAATCATTCAGGTCAAATAATAAAACAGCCTGGTCATTGCTTTAGCGCCCCTGTATTTCTATTCAGCCCCCCTAAAACTTTTGCAATTAACTCATGATCAGTCCCCTTTAAATTTGATATAAAAATAGCAAGAGACTTTCGCCATTCTGTTTTTTTTTTTAATTCATTATTTTTTCAACCTTGTTTCAAATCGGTTTGTCTTTTTGTATTCTGTTCAACTCAAAAGAATATAATTTGAAGAAAACTAGAAAACTGTAACCATTGACTATCAAACTATTTGTTTTTTCAAGTCAAAAGTTACAGGTAACTTATTCTGAATAAATATATATTGCTAATGATAAAAAAACGGAGTTATCCACGCTGTTATTTAAAAAATATCTCTGTCCACATAAAATTGCAAAAACGCACTGTGATGCATCTTAAGGTGTTAAGACATTATCCTTCTTTCGCATGAGACGATGGGAAATTAAGTTGTTATGTGATTAAATTGCCTACAAGCCACTGCAAATGTTAGAACAGAAGAATAAGTGATACGTTTGCTGCAAACGTAAAGAATTTGCCTCATTCATGTATTGGCCAATCAGAAAGGAGAAAACATTGCACACGCTGATGCTGAGAAAACTCTATATCTCTGTATTGTCCACATGACATCACTGTACCTGGAGTTTCAGAAAACCTTCACCCTGGCCAGAGTTTTCAGAAAATTTTCTGATACTATGTTTTCAGGTGGACAAACAGTGAAACCGTGTAGAAAAAAATGTGATTTTGAAAATACTATTTTTAAGGCCTTAACTTCTAGTCCCTGTGAAAGGCAAATTGAGTAATTTTTGCCACTAGAAGGCTTACATTCACAACAAACAAAGGCATAGTTTAATGAGCGTGTAATCATGGGAGTTTTTGTCGTCATTATATCTTTTGTGACTCCTGCATCATGTTCATGGATGAGCTAAAATATAAATATGCAAATCTTATCATGGTAGCATAAAGCAGAGTAAGGTTTAAAGCCATAAAAACGAACCGAGACCACTGAAGCATCTTTTATGTACTTACATTATCCCACTTCAAACCAATTTTAAACAATAAACCAAAAATCTAGAATAATTTTAGTATTAATCATAGCTATTTTTCTTGTTTTAAAAGTTCACATTTGATATATACTGTTGAAGTCATAATTATTTTCCCCCCTTTGATTTTTTTTTCTTTTTTAAATATTTCCAAAATGATGTTTAGCAGAGCAAGTAAAATTTTACAATGTGTCTGATAATATTTTAACTTAGGGAGAAAGTCTTATTTTAAATTAAAAAAAAACTTTTTAAGGTCAAAATTATTAGCCCCTTTAAGCTATATGTTTTGGATAGACTACAGATCAAACCACTGTTGTACAATAACTTGCCTAATTACCCTAACCTGCCTAGATAAACTAATTAACGTAGTTAAGCCTTTAAATGTCACTTTAAGATGTATGAAAGTATCTTCATAAGTAATTTGCTGAAAAAGATCTGCATCACACTCCCAACTATACTTCTGGCAAACATCCAGTCTCTGAAAAATAAGATTGATGAATTACAGGCTAACATTCGTTATCTTTGAGAGTATAAAAATGCTTTTATTTTGGCTCTGACTGAGACATGGCTTACTACATAGGACACGGACTCCTCACTGGCATTAGACAGGTTTGATGCACCTGTTCGGATGGATCAGGACTGTGAGGTAACGGGTAAAAGTCGGGTCGGTGGTGTTTGCCTCTACATCAATCGAGGGTTGTGCACAAACATAACAGTGAGAGAAAGATAAAGAGAGAAAGGAAATTTCCACAGATTTTTTGCTATTTACATACCTTCGAAAGCAAACAGTAAAAAAATTGTTAGTAAAGTCTTGTCGAACTTAAAACAAATCTCACCGGATGCTCTGAACTTTGTTCTTGGGGATTTTAATAATTGTGACCTCAGGAAAATATTGTGTGACTTTTATCAGTATGTAAATTGTCATACAAGAAATGATGAGACATTGGACCTCTGTTATGGATCGATTAAAGGGGCAATGAAAGCTGTTCCTGGTCTGGCTTCTCTGACCATATGTGGTACACCTCCTTCCAGTATATAAATCTGTGTTGAGGAGGAAGAAGGTGCGGAAAAGGGTTATTAAGGTATGGTCAGCGGATAATTCACTGGCCCTTCAGGGTTGTTTCGACTGTACAGGCTGGTTTGTTTTTAAAGAGACATCTGAAAGTATTGATGAACTCACAGAAGTAGTGTGTGATTACATATCTTTTTGTACAGATATGATTATTTCTCACAAAACTGTTATTGACTTTTCTAACAACAAACCTTGGCTGTCGAGTGATATAAAATCTCTACAAACAAAAATATTTTAAACAGGTTGATATGAGCTCAGTCATGTAGTAAATCCGTAAACATTAGTAGGACTCAGGTCAAAGGCCTCTCTCAGGGAAATAATACCAAATAAAATTTGGAAGAAATCTGTTATTGTTCCTATAGCCAAAACTAAGTTTTCCCGGAAGTTAAATGATTTCAGACCTTTTGCCCTTACTTCATTAGTTATGAAGTGTTTCAAGAGAATTATTTAAAGGGACAAGTCAAATGACAAATTTGATCCATTGCAGTTTGCATTTAGTTTGCATTTGCAGTTTGCATTTAGACAGTTGAACATGCCAATCTTACACTGTTAAATTACCTGTTTAATCCCCTGAAAAAGCCTAAGACCCATGCCAGATTGTTGTTTATTGATTTCTCTTCTACTTTTAATACTATAAAGCCACATTCTTTTTAATTTGGATTTTAATGTTTGTGGATAGATTCTGATTCTTTTTTTAGTAGTACGTCAGCACTGTGTCAGAGTCAATGGTGCACTTTCTGACTTTCAGTATTGTTCCACTGCGTCCCCTCAAGGTTGTTGCCTCTCTCCTCTTTTGTTCATCATGTATACTAATGATAGTCAGAGTATGTTCAGGAACTGTCATATCATAAAATATGCCGATGATTCGGTGATTGTGAGTCTCCTCTATGACCAGGATTTGGGGCATGGTCCTGTTGTGAAAGAATTTACTTCCTGGTGTGATAGATTTTCTCTCCAGTTGAATGTAAATAAAACAAAAGACACAGTAATAGATTACAGGAAGGCTTCTTCTATCCCCAGCATAACAAATATTAAAGGCTTGGACATTGAAATTGTGAATACACATAAATATCTAGGGGTGGTTAATGACAATATGTTGACATTTCAACCTAACACCCAGGCTGTCTGTAAAAAAGTCCAACAAGGAACTACTGCAAGGAGGAAACTTAGATAGTTTCAGGTTTGTACCTCTATGATGACACTGTTTTACAAACAGTTTATTGAATCTGTTCTATCTTTTTGCATTGTAGCTTGGTACGGTAATCTAAGTGTGTCAAACAAGAACAGGTTGAGTAGCCTGTTGAAGGTGGCAGGCAAGATCATTGGTTTTAACCAAACTGGTCCAATGGAAATTTACCATAATGGTGTTTTAAAGAGAGCGCAAGGTATCCTATGCACCCTGGATCATCCGTTGTGTGTTTCAGCTGTTGCTATCAGGACGTAGTTTTAAAGTTCCTATTTGCAGGACAAATAGAGTTAGAAATTCTTTTATAATGGTGGCCATTAGGTCGTTAAATGAGTCCAGAGGTGAAGGAGGTGCACCTGCATAGTGATGTATGGTATGTTGCGTTGTAAAATGTATTAATATACATGGAACTTCGCCTGTGTTACAGCACCTTGCTGCAATTTTAGATTCCCTAAACGGGATAATAAAGTTGAGTCTGAGTCTGTGTCTGAGTCTTGAAAAATATCTAGTAAAATATTATTTACTGTCATCATGGCAAAGATAAAATAAATCAGTTATTAGAAATGAGTTATTGAAACTATTATGTTCAGAAATGTGTTGAAAAAAATCTTCTCTCCATTAAACAGAAATTGGGGGGGGGGGGAATCATTTATGGGGGCTAATAATTCTAACTTCAACTGTACATGAAAATATTTCTTTCTCAGAACTTTTAACAGCTTTTGAGAAACATCTGGCCTTCACAATGCTACACTGTACCTTTTTGTTAATACACAAAGTACTTTTTTGTTTGAACAGAAAAACAAACAAAAGCATGAAATTGAATTTATTTTTTCTACATTGTCTTGATACACACAAAAAAGGATTTGTACTGCTTGTTCCAACTGCCTATTTAAAATAAGCTGGAATTATGCAATTCATGCAAGTGTGTGTGTGTGTGTTATATATATGAAAGACATTTGAAAAAAAGACATCACGTGGGGAAGGAGCAGCACTGTTTGATTTTACTAAATGCATTTCATAGTTCTGTTATAAAGCTGCTCTGTGCAGTCAAATAAAACACAAAACATATAGTTTCTTTGGTGTTTCTCTGTTTTCCGTAAAACCAAACCATTAATAATAGGTGTGTGATGTTAGTGGCATAGCCACACAGGACATGGTATGTGTCACTAGTTAAAATTGCTTTCGAAACATTTGAAATAATGTAGGTAAGTAAAATGTATAACACAGTTCTAGTGGTTTTGGAATTTTTGGAACATGTTGTCCCTTTAACATTACAATCGGTACAATTTTAAATAAATAATTTAAAAAAGAAAGAAAAAAAGAAAGAAAGAAATATACTGTATGGATTGATATGTCCAGCAGAGGTCAGGCTAATACAGTGTGTTAAACAAGATGAAGCTGCATACCTGTGGTGGTGAATTCACTATAATATCCATGTGATTGCCTTCATTACTGTAGACCTCCTCATCTCTTGCACTTCCATAACTGAAATTCACTGTCAGAAAGTCACAATAAGACAAAATAAGAAACATAACTTTAAATAACATTGAAGTATCATTCAGATACTTTTTTGGACATTTTAAAGGTTTATATTTAAAGGTAAATTAAAAAATGTACACTGCCTGACAAACGTCTTATCGCCTATCCAAGTTTTAGGAACAACAAACAATGACTTATTTTATCATTTGGTATCAGATGTGGCTTACATGAAAGGCAAAGGCCTCTAGATTACACTTATTTTACCTAAATAAAATATAATCATGCCTTGATTTTTAATTATATAGTTAGGGCTGGAAGGTCTGATTTTGCTTAGACAGAAGTCTTGTCACTTAACACAAATAATGTACAGTATAGAATATAAAGTCATAGTGCAGCGGAAAAAGAATGAATATTGTGTATGACTCCAATGAGTTTGGAGGACTGCATCCATAAATCTCTCCAATGACTCAAATAACCTATTAATAAAGTCATCTGGAATGGCAAAGAAAGTATTCCTGCAGGACTCCCAGAATTTATCAACATTCTTTGCATTCATCTTCAATGCATACTCCTCTATCTTACCCTAGACATGCTCAATAATCTGGTGACTGGGCTGGCCAATCCTGAAGCACCTGTACCTTCTTTGCTTTCAGGAACTTTGATGTGGAGGCTGAAGTATGAGAAGGAGCACTGTCCTGATGAAGAATTTGCCCTCTCCTGTGGTTTGTAATGTAAGGGGCAGCACAAATGTCTTGATACCTCAGGTTGTTGATGTTGTCATCCATTCTGCAGATCTCTCGCATGCCCCCATAAAAAAAAACCGGTCCCACTTTATATTAAGTGTCGCTTATACCTGTGAACTTACATGGTAACTAGATGTGTAAGTAGTATGTAACTACAGTGTTTGTACACACTGGTACATAGTAATTACTTGTGTAATATTGGTGTAACTACACACATGTAACAGCCCACTGAATAGTATGTGTAAGTACAAATGTGTAACAGGACATTGGTAACAACACTAAGAAAGTACACATCTGTAACAAGAATTATGTAAGTGCAATGTGTAACAACAGTATGTACTTGCAGGTGTTTTCTCACTTCCACAACTGTTTGCATACCATGTACTTGTGAACATTGTATGACAGAAATAAAGCTTCATTAGAAGGTCTCACCTTGTGATACCAGTGTAATTACAGGGTAAATCCACATAAACTGTCCACTCAATATAAAGTGTAAAATAGTCACAAATTACTCTTTAACTTGTAAAATATCCTCTGTGCAACACTTTATTAACAGTGTACTTACATGATAACTCCACAGGAACTGTCCACTCAATATAAAGTGTAAAATAGTCACAAATGACTCTTTAACTTGTAAAATATCCTCTGTGCAACACTTTATTAACAGTGTACTTACATGGTAACTCCACAGGAACTGTCCACTCAATATAAAGTGTAAAATAGTCACAAATTACTCTTTAACTTGTAAAATATCCTATATGCAACACTTTATTAACAGTGTACTTACATGGTAACCCCAAAGAAACTGTCCACTCAATATAAAGTGTAAAATAGTCACAAAATACTCTGTTACTTGTAAAATATCCTATATGCAACACTTTATTAACAGTGTACTTACATGGTAACCCCACAGGAACTGTCCACTCAATATAAAGTGTAAAATAGTCACAAATTACTCTGTAACTTGTAAAAATATCCTGTGCTACACTTTATTAACGGTGTACTTACATAGAAACTCCACAGGAACTGTCCACTCAATATAAAGTGTAAAAAAAGTAAAATTACTCTTTAACTTGTAAAATATCTTCTATGCAACACTTTATTAAGTGTACTTACATGGAAACTCCACAGGAACTGTCCACTCAAGTGTAAATTTGTCACAAATTACTGATTCATCCACTGATGAATCCATGTACTTCTCACCTACATTCTGAAATGTTCCATGTTAATTCTATTGTAACTGTGAACCTAAAAGTAATAGTATTAAATTCCAAAGTATTAATCCACAAATGTTTTTCAATAAGTAGACTATAGAGGACTAAAAAAGAGAAAACATGCAGCAAAGGTAAACAATGTTTATTAACATTTTTATACTCAACAGTGCAACACATATAAAGAAAAACCTTAGAAATATGGCTGCAATATAGAACCTTACAGACACTATTAAATTAAAGAGATTAAACATAATCCCATAAACAAAAAAAATCTTAGAGTAAATTAAAACTTTTAGATAAATGTTGGAAGTAACATCATATCACATTAAACGTACAGCAATTCACATTGAAGGGATAGTTTACCCAAAAATTAAATTATTAATTACTCCCCCTGCTGTTATTCCAAACCCGAGTCCTTCATTCAGAAAATAAAATAAAAAAATCTACTTTTTTATTTTATTTGTAAAAATATTTTAGCTGATTATTTATTTATTATTATTATTATTATATATTATTATATTATATATATTTTAGAATTATCTGACCCTCCATAGAAAGCCAGAGTTGCAAGGCATTTAAAGTCTAGAAAGATACAGTACCAATAACATCAAAAGAGTACATTTGTCTTCAGTGGTTCAATTGTAATGCTATGAAGCTATGATAATACTTTTGTGTGGACAAAAAACGCATTATTTTACATTTTATTCTCTTCAGTGTCATTTCAGGTCTCAGGGGTTGGAACGACAAATGGGGTAACAATTAATAACTACTGATGTGAATCTACAATTTAACTTTAAACAACATCTGCACATAAGAGATTTGTATATTTCTATCTGAACTTATACTTTATTGGCAGAAGTTTGCGCTCTTGTTTGGCGTTTTCAATGACAGATTTTAAGTCTGTTGTCAGCGACTGCAGGCACCTCTTGGCAAAGTCAAAAAGTTTCTCCTCCTTGGTTCTGAATTTAGGGATGCTTCTGTAAAACTCAGCATCAACAAGCTGAATTTCAGCCACAACAGCTGTTAATGCGAGAGTATTACGGTCAACCCCAACTTTGGCACATGCTTTACTAATGCTCCCTTCTTTTTTATACGCATTGAAAACTTTGTTGTACCGCCTTAGTACGTCATCAGGGGTTGTTGCTGTAGAAAGATAAAAGCTTAAGAAGAAATTAAAAAAAACAAGCAAACAAAAAAAAAACAAAAAAACAATGTGTGTCAAATACTTAAATGCACAAACCACACAAACCTGGCATGACCTATTGTGAATTAGTTTTTCCAGGGATGTCCCACATGGAACGAACATATATGAGGATGTATGCACAAACATGAAACCTATAAGCAGTATACAGTATATGCACATATATGATAGGCATGGGACGATAACCATTTTCAAGGTATGCCGCGGTTTGGAAAAGTCAAGGTTTTAAAACTGTACAACAGTTTTCAAGGGGGGACAACAGTATCTCTAGCAGAACATATTCCATTTTAAATTGTAAAAAACATGTTTTGAAACAAATAAAGACAAAATGAAGCAAAATTCATTAATTCATTTAGCCCGACACATTTACTGCTCCAACATATTTTAAATGTTTCACAAAATAAAATATACTGTGTTCAAAACAAAATGTACTGTTGTTTTTTACACAGACATTTAAAAAGAAAATATTTTTGAGCAGTAATTACAATACTGTGATACCGTGATATTTTTATCCAATGTTATCATACAGTAAGAATCTTATACAGGCCCATACCTAATATATGATAATAAATATGTGTATGTATATGCCATATATAGGCAAAACTGAGGTGCATATATGTGCATATACAGGCCATATAGGTCTCCTGTAATGCTTCTTTATATCCACATATAAGCCTTACATGTACATACAAGATATACTAATAAAAAACAAAATGCAAAAAAATTATGTGCCAACACTTGAAATTTGATTCACATGTAATTGGCATGTTATGGAATTTAACTATGGCAAATAAGTGAGGAGATGAAAAGCTATGATGTCTACATGTTTTCCTGAAACATTTACAAGGCCAATTCTTTCTTGTATTAAGATAGTGAAAAAGAAAGAATAACAAAAGCTTTTGTGTTTTAAAATATTTTTTCTGTTCAGTTTTTTTGTCTTATTTTTTTATTGTACTATTTGATTGTTTTTAAGTAAATAAAAAATGCAATTTATTATATTTACCTTGTCTAGCAGCTATAGGTTTTAATAATTTAACTAATATGTAGGTAAACATATAGGTAAACATATATATGTACATATAAACATACATATAAGCACATATATGTGTACATACAGTATATGTCTACATATATGCATACATACAGTATGTGTACATATATGAATGTGCATATATGTACATATATGTACATATAATATAGGAAATGGCCAATTTTTTATGTCATATATATTAAAAACCTATATCAAAACTTATATGTTTATATAGGTTTTATCTATCTATCTTAAAACATATATGTTTATATAGGTTCTTTCCATGTGGGGTTCTATTGACTAAGTACACATCAACAGAAAAATGGCATTCAAAAACAGGATATATGCTTACCACGTGTGCTGTGCTTGGTAGATTTTGACCTGCTGGCCCTCTTTGTCTTCTTATGACTCTTTCTCTTCTTCCGAGGAATATCACTATCAGGTGAATCTGAAGAGGAGGAAGAAGTCATGGACTCCTCATCAGTGTTACTGGTGCTGCATTCAGTGCTTGTGTCCAAGACTTTCTTTACTTTTTTTGCCCCTCTGTCTATGGAAAAAAAACAGATTTAGTTACATAAAAAGGCTAGCAGGCTTAGGCTAGCCACAGATGAGACTTTATACAAATCTTAACCAATTTTAAAATCATGGAATAAAACAGACATACTGTTTCTTACAGTCTTACAGCTAGAAATTAAGTCCAAAAAGAATATGGTTAATAAATTTGTCTAGTTTTTATATTATGTTTGTGGCTCCCAAATTTTAACAAAGCGCGAGGTTTAGAATAAAATGTGTTTTTGTTTTTTTTTTTTGTTAAAGGATCTTCCGTCTTGATCGGAAGCAGTTAATAATAGGTCAAACCCCATTCAGGGGTTCAAATCAAACTTAAAATCAGCAACTGTAGTATGTGGCCAGCCTTAAAAATGTAATCTATTAATACTACTCAGTTCAGGATTGATGTGAAAGTTTAAAAAGTAAAAAAAAAATCTACTTGCTCAGTAAATATTAATTTCAAATCAAACACGTTAATACAACAAAACAGGTTTCTTACTTGACAATTTTAGGACAGTTTGGCGGAGAAAATCTCGTTCCTGTTTAAGTGTTTGTATTGTCTGGGCCATGAGCATCAGCTTGTCTTTTTCCACCATTGAGGAAGACCCATCACCTTGTCCTTTAAAAACAAACAATGTAGCAAAATACAGTTATGGTACATACATCTGGTACATACATCTGGTACATAATGGTACATACAAGTGCCTGCTAAATAACTAAAAATTTACCTTGTGTAATATGGAGTATATAAAAGTGGCCTTAGTGCAAGATCAAGTATTTATATTTCCATAAAAGTACAATAGAACAAGACTGGTATTGGCTGTTTTTTTTTTGTTTTTTTTTTATTGTTAAAGCTAAAACATTTCAGCAAACAGTTGTGGTAGATGTGGTTCATTTTCAAATACGTTGGCTTGGTCTATCTTATACCATGATTGCACATTCAAAGTAATTTCTTTCTAAGTAAATACAAACTCACCTGGATCTGGAGTTATGGTTTCCACCGCAACAACAGAAAGGTCATTGTCATCGTCTTTATCATGGTGTACTTTATGAATTTTTTGGGATGATTCAGGCGGTTCTGTAAAAACAAAAAAAGAAAATGGTTGCTGCTCTTGTCTGTCAAACTACCGCAACATTACTGGAGCAACAACTTCTAAAACACTTCATGTAAAATGGTTTAACTTCGCCAAGAGTATGATCAGTTGGTTATCAATTTTTTTCTCAAACATTTTACCCACTTTTATTTTTTCCTGTAGGACCAATATAGAAAAAGCTTGATGTGGCTTAAATAAACAAATAAAAACATACATGTGTATTTGTAAACAAATTTAAATGTGCATTGTGTCCTAATATGATAAAAAAATTATTCAATCCTACATTAATTTTCTTGTTGCATTTATAAGGGTTAAAATTAAATTTAAATAGACTAGTGGTCAAATGTGCTGATCACTGATTTCACCATTAAAAATACAATCAGCAAATGTGTTTTTTTTTTGCATATTCAGCACTATTTGTATATGGTTTTACAAATAGCATGGTTAGTTATTAGTGTATAAAAAGTGTGTACAATAAACTATAATTTAAAGTAGTTTAAGTATAGTAACATTAATTTTTTTATTTAGTAAAGGCTTGCTTACGGTTAAGCATATTGCACATAAAAGTGAACTTATATCTAACCTTTGTTAGTCAGTGTAGATGAGTTAATGCATGAGACTACTAATATTAACGTTAAATCATTACAAATCATCGAACTGTAGATTAAATTACCTTCACTCAAGAGGTCAGCTTCAGCTTCGCTGCGTTGGGGGCAGTTCCTCTTCAAAGAAATCGTCTTTTTTCGTGGCATACTGAAGAAAAATTCGCTAAAGAGTTAGGGCTAACAATTTGCAAAAAGACGCATCATGAGAGAGATAACCGTCTGCTCTGATAGGGAAGTTGGCGGTTCATTCAGTAGTCCAATCAAAACTTACGTAACGTGACGTGACAACTGTGACGTTTCGTTGTAAACAGCCAGTTATCGACAAGGCGCCAAATTTTCAAATAGGAAAGCAAGGCAAGCGGCTTTCAGTTATACATTAGCTGTATCTGTTATAGCGCTATGCTTAACGTTACAGGGAAATTAAACAAGATTATACGGCTTTGCAGCGGTGGAAAACATAGAAAATTAGTGATCAAATGGCTACAGAGAAAAGGCTTGCTTTGTAAAGCACCTCATTGTCGCCAGTGTGGAAAAAAGATGAGTATTAAAGCCCACAGTGGACGTGATGGTTACATATGGTAAGTAACGTCAAGCACAAAGCTTGTTTAACTCGCTGTTTTGATTGCTAATTTTAACATAATTTAAGTAAGTTTCCCTGAATACTGTGTTATAGATTATCATAATTTTTTCACTTTTATTTTAGGACATGCCGAAGAAACAAGCATCGCAGAATTACACTCTCCATTCGCAAAGGATCACTGTTTCATAACTCCAGAATACCTTTGGTAAAGTGGATGGAATACATATATAGGTAATCTAATAATTATAAACTTAATGTCATTGCGGTCGATCGCTAACCTCGTTAGGTCATTTTCATGTGTAATATAAATGTAAGATTATCAAGAAATATAGTTTAATACTATTTGCCCAGCCACTTCAACAACACACTCCTTATTGTTTATGAATAGAGATTGTATAGGTGAAGAATCTGTGTTATATCTGTGCTAAAATACATTTTATCTGAAAAGCTAGCATTGTAAATATATATATATATATATATATATATATATATATATATATATATATATATTTATATATATTTATATAAATATATATATATATATATATATATATATAAAATTAACCAAAACTATTTTCTTATAAGATTTTCACAGGGTCTACATTTAAGACAAATTGACTTGATGGATGATGGTGTTGCCAAAACTTCAACAACATTGTCCAGAATGAACAAATTGCTCAGAAAGGTAACTTAATAATAACATATGCACACATATACAATGCAGGCTTTTTCACTCTTACATTTAACAGCACCTTACTCAACCAATTCAATTCAATTAGGTTCATTAGTACAAATTTCCTATGGCTATTTTTTACAGGTTTGCATCAAGGCATTGAGTAATTTGAAAAGAAGAACAGGCCTTAGAGTTGGTGGAAAGTCAAGACAGAAGTTTGTGGCCATAGATGAGTCCAAGTTTGCTCACAAGAGAAAGGTATGTTTGATGTGAAAAGGTTTATACTGTATACTTAGTAATTTTTACTATGTTGAAATACTAAAGTTCATTAACCTGCATTCAGTAATACTTCCAGAGTTAACATTACATCAAAATAGCACATGTAATCAAAAGCAGGGATATGATTTTTATGTATAAATGCAAATTCCTGTATGTTCTGACGTCAGTGGGGTGACCCTTTCGGTTTTAATGTAAATTTCTTCATTCAGGACATCATGTGATTGTACCCAATAATTACAGATTATACTGTTTTCCTGTGTCTCCGGGAAGTAATGTCTATAATGATATTTGTGTAGTCCTTCAATCTACTCATATGAGGAAGCTGATGTCAATGTGAAAAACAATGACAAAGATTTGAATGTGTTCATGTGAATTTTATGTTTTCACTTTTGAGTGTGCACCATGTTTTATTACCCTCTGCAAATCATCTGTTCTTACAGTCTTTATTTAATATTTAATAGACAATAACCTGAAATGTATACCTAAATATTAATTTCAAAACGTTATATTATTATACCTAACTCAAGAGTTACACATTATACATAATATTTTAAGAAATTTAAACAATTTCATTTTGAAATTTAAACAAATTTTGGACTGACTAGTAATTTATTTATCAGGTTGAAATTAAAGGTGTACTAAATAAATGCAGACACTTGCATTTTTTAAATTCTATTTTATGCATTGATGAAGACACAATGGCATCACACAAGTTAGTGGCCATCTAGCAGCAGCAGTGTGCCGTTCTGTCCTCAGACTAAAGAACTAGGTATAGACCAATTGGTTTAAAGATTATTCAGATGATTATTAAACTGCTTTTTAAGTTAATTGAGATAGATGCATGGTGAAAAATAACTATGGTCAGTCATTGGGAGATTTTACTGCTCTTACAATTTCCGTTGTTTCTTGTGTTCATTACTTTTCAGTTTAATCGTGGCCGCTTTTGTACTACTTGGCAGAGAAGAAAAGGATGGGTTTTTGGGATGATGGAGGTTAAAGGAGATCGCCGCCTACCAGTCTTAAAGATGGTAAAGGACCGTTCCAGGACCACACTGGTGCCCATCATCACAAGGCACATCAGAAGGGGGTCAACTGTTTACAGTGACAATTGGAGGGCATATCTGAATGCATTACAACCTTTACGATACAGACACCTAACTGTTAATCACAGTGAAAATTTTGTTGATCCCCAAACTGGCTGTCACACACAACATATTGAAAGGGCTTGGCTTGCCATCAAGGCACAGGTATCAAGATTAAGGGGTAACAAGACTACAAAACTATTGAGAGAACATTTGAAATTCATTCAGTGGCACTACTGGCTGGGAAGGCGAAATAGTAAAGGTGCCTTAGCACAGCTTATCCATGACATTAGAAAAGCATACCGGGTTCATTGAAAATATATATGCCATTTTTTTCTCTTTTATTTGCTGTTTATATTGTGACATTTCTTCAGATTCTAAAATTTCCTGATAATACAAACAATTAACTTGTTTTAATACATTCATAGTTTACTCAAAAAAAATATTTGTGTAAAATACTATGTTGCAGAGTAAAAATCAAATACGAATGTGACAGTTTTGATTTAATAGATCCTGGGATATTATTTACAGCACTGATTGTTTTCTTTATTGCTCTTTTAAATGTTTCTTTTGTGATTGCTGGCACTCTGTTGAACAATCTGACTTTACAGTCACAGTGTAAATTACAATATTCTGTTACTTTTCTAGAACATTGAAACTGCAATGCAATAAAGTTACACTACATATTAAATATACTATTCCTTTTGATTCACCATGCATTTTCCTTTGCTACAGTTATATGAGGACATGAAAGGACAGTTCATGAGAAGTTACCATGTCAGTACATTGTTAATGTGTTCGATTTGGATTTATATTACACAGTTTGTGACCATTTTGCTAGTACACTTTAAAAAAAAGTTACAATTTATTTACATACAGTATGTACACATTGGGTGGACGGTTTCTGAGGAGTTTCTATGTAGGTACACTGTTGTTAAGCAGTTGCATGGAGGATTATGTTTTATATATTACATAGTAATTTGTGACAAATTTACACTTTATATTGAGTGGACAGTTCCTGTGGGGTTACCATGTAAGTACACTGTTAATAAAGTGTTGCATATAGGATATTTTACAAGTTACAGAGTATTTTGTGACTATTTTACACTTTATATTGAGTGGACAGTTCCTGTGGAGTTACCATGTAAGTACACTGTTAATAAAGTGTTGCACAGAGGATATTTTACAAGTTAAAGAGTAATTTGTGACTATTTTACACTTTATATTGAGTGGACAGTTTCTTTGGGGTTACCATGTAAGTACACTGTTAATAAAGTGTTGCATATAGGATATTTTACAAGTTAAAGAGTAATTTGTGACTATTTTACACTTTATATTGAGTGGACAGTTTCTTTGGGGTTACCATGTAAGTACACTGGTAATAAAGTGTTGCATATAGGATATTTTACAAGTTAAAGAGTAATTTGTGACTATTTTACACTTTATATTGAGTGGACAGTTCCTGTGGAGTTACCATGTAAGTACACTGTTAATAAAGTGTTGCACAGAGGATATTTTACAAGTTAAAGAGTAATTTGTGACTATTTTACACTTTATATTGAGTGGACAGTTCCTGTGGAGTTATCATGTAAGTACACTGTTAATAAAGTGTTGCACAGAGGATATTTTACAAGTTAAAGAGTAATTTGTGACTATTTTACACTTTATATTGAGTGGACAGTTTATGTGGATTTACCCTGTAATTACACTGGTATCACAAGGTGAGACCTTCTAATGAAGCTTTATTTCTGTCATACAATGTTCACAAGTACATGGTATGCAAACAGTTGTGGAAGTGAGAAAACACCTGCAAGTACATACTGTTGTTACACATTGCACTTACATAATTCTTGTTACAGATGTGTACTTTCTTAGTGTTGTTACCAATGTCCTGTTACACATTTGTACTTACACATACTATTCAGTGGGCTGTTACATGTGTGTAGTTACACCAATATTACACAAGTAATTACTATGTACCAGTGTGTACAAACACTGTAGTTACATACTACTTACACATCTAGTTACCATGTAAGTTCACAGGTATAAGCGACACTTAATATAAAGTGGGACCAAAAAACCAAACCATGATTTTTCCTTCACCAAACTTGACTGATACTGTGAGAATCTTGGGTCCATGAGGTTTCCAATAATTCTACTGCAGTATTTGTGATGCAGTTCAACAGATGATTCAGTGGAAAAATGTACCTTCTGCCACTATTCCAAATGATCAACTAGAAGTCAAGTAATTATTTGATGCTCTTACAACCTTTCGTCAGGGAGTGCATGTTATGTTGTTAGTAGAGAACTATTGACAGTAATTGAGAAACTTCTGGCCTCAGAACTATACTGCAAAAAAAGTACCTTTTTATTAAATGAAATAAAAAATCTCTTTCCTACTTCATCCTGATATATATTTTTCTGCCCCACTGCCAGTAAATGCATCATCAAAGAAGATGAAAAATAATAAGAATGTAAATATATTTTTTATTGTATTACAGGATTGTTGAATGCCTGATATTTATTGGTTGATGAATATTCTAAATAATGCAAACATTTTCTAGGAAACACAAATAAAGTAAAGCAGTTACATTAGTTTCATGTCTTCACACCGAAAGGTCTCTGCAACCAACCAAAAGAACCAAAAGCCACAAAATATATTAAACAAGCAAGTAATTATAACAAATGACAGGATAAATTTCTATTTCTCACATTTCCACTGCACAAAAGCATTCCTGCATGACTGCTGAAATCACCCTATAATGACAGTCATGCCGGATTAACTTGCAACATAATTTTATTCAGTTATTATGTATTATTTTACTTGAACACACAATGCTTTGTCTTTGCACTTTTAGCAGCAACCTTTTTTTACAGCAAAATTGATCCCCTGATCTTCTTGATGTACCCAAAACGCTCCCATACTGCTGAATGAAGGCATTTTATAGAAATAAAGTTAAATTAAAATTAAATTAAAATAGTTAAAATTAACCTAGTTATGTTCAGTCCCGCATGCAATGAGAGAATGCAGGAACAGACAAAAAGCAAGATGACAGAGCCTTACATTTCTGTGATGGAAATATTCTAATTATTATTTTGAAAGAAAAGGAAATGAGGATTATCTGAATGGACAGTTATTTTATTTTTTAAAAGGACAAAAAGTACAGAAGTAGTAAACACATTGCTTTAAACTTTTATTAATCTGTATACGGCATGTAAAGCTCTGGGGTCAGAAAGTTTTCCGTAGGTAACATTATGTTTATTATTTTTTTTTTTTTTCAATAGTAAATGAAGGTTATATGGTGTGTTGTTAATTGCAGAGCTCCTCTATAAAAAAAAGAAGAAGAAGAAGAAAAAGAAGAAAGTCAGGTCAGAAAAAGATACATAAAAGTAACGTAACACATTAATTAAAAAGTAACTAAGTAATGTAACTAGTTAATTTTTTGGGGAGTAACTCAGTATTGTAATGCATTACTTTCTAAAGTAACTTTCCCTAACACTGGTCATAGCACAGAGGAAATCTAAACACACAGTATTAGCGTGTAACCTCCTTTTAGAAGTTAACTCCCTGGTCTCTTTCTCGATCTACTTCACTTGTTCCTCTTTTCCACATTTCTTCAGTCCTAAACCTCATTCTGTTATGTTGTTAATGGATAGCTCTTGTTGTTGTTAATAGAGAACAATTTCTTCATTACCATAAAGTGGCAGTAGCAATTACTTGCTGTAGAAACAATTGATAAAATTGAGCTTTCTATATTTTAAATAACAATAATAATAATGATAATAAAATATTAATAATAATAATAAATAATATAAATATTATATATATATATATATATATATATGCTATAATGTCAAATGGACAAAAATCTCTAGTACTAGTAAGGTTTACCTATTAAGTGGCCTGTGAGGTGTATACAGTATGAATACAAGGCTAGTGTTCTATAACCACTGACTTAAAACTGTGACTGTAAGGACCATCAAAGCTGGGCCTCAAGCCAAATACACATCATGATCTACACTTTTTTAATTTAAATATCAACAGACATGCAACAGCAGTTAGTAACTGCCAAAATATTTCATTTTGGCTATTGAATGATGGTAAGTTACAAAAGAATTATGTATTATAAAATCCTATTTAATTGTATTGGGTGTTTTATATGTTTTTTGGCCACACTTTATTTTGATGGTCCATTTGTTGAACTTAAGTTACATTGCATCTACATATCAACTAATTCTCATTAGATTATAAGTAGACTGTTAGGTTAGGGTTAGAGTTAGTGTAAGTTCACAAGTACTTGCAAAGTTTTTTTACAGTGAGTTAAATGTTTGTATAGCAGCAGTATTAACAGATATTAAGCAGACAGTCTACTAAGGGCGTACTCACACTATTTGCAGTTGCCTTGAACAGGGCCAAAGCATGCTTGTCCCCATACCGTCTCTCCTGACGGCCCACAATCACATTACATTCAGGCTCATCAAAATAAAGTGTAACTGTTTTTATCTCAAGTCATCAACAACATCTGCATATTTCACCTTTCATACTGTTATTGTTTGGGGTTTCTGCATGATTTAAAAAGATCAGTAAAAGCCTTTTTAAGAGCAGGTAAAATTGTTAACAAAGAAAGGAAAGCATTAAAGGGATAGCTCTCACACACACACAAAATCTGTCATCACTTACTCACTTTTCACTTGTTTCAAACCTTAAAACATAAACATTGACATTCATAGTATTTTTTTTTCTTCTGTGGAAGACAATAGTTACAGGTTTTTAGCTTTCTTCAAAATATCTTTTTTTGGAATAAAGAAACGATTAAAGGATTGGAAGGGACTGCTTAAGGTTAAGTTAATAGTAGGTAATATTTTTTCTTTTTTTTTTTTTTCAAAAATTTCATTTTTGGGTGAACTATCCATTTAAGACCCTAAACATATATGCAGCAGTTCTCTAAATATATATAAAGAAGAAAAATAGTTCATAATAATTACCAAAATGTTTAAAAAAAAAAGCATGTGCAGTTTTAGTAGTTTTGTGAAACTATTGAAAATTTAAATGAGATCATGTTAAAAAAAATCATACCATTAGCTCTACAAACTACATTAATATAAATGTATAACTATTTTCTTTGAAACTATCTAATAAACTCTTTTTTTCAGACCTTTATAAAGTGTGTAATTGTTAATTTAAATAGTGTAATTCTTCTTTTATGACCCTCAGAAACCTGACATTCTGACTTCGGAATTATCTATCCAACTTGTGTCTAATTTTTAATAAGCTCCGAAGACAATTAGCTATACTTAAACCTATCAATATAAAATATCTAAAAGTATGTGTTCTTCTATTACATTTACATTTTTAATATTAACAAATATTTAATGCATTAGTTTTGAAAGTGCCTACCTGTGCTTTTCTCCGCATGCAAAAGTGTCTCCTCTGCAAATACGTATGAAACCCCCTGTGAAGTTAAAAGGTCAATAGTCTGCATTTTTTGACTTTATTAATGTAAAACAGCAAGTCCATATATGAAAATAATAATAATCACAACAACAAAAAGGAAATAAAATGTATAACAAACCTAAATATCATACCTGAAAGAGTACAATAAGAGTGCCAGACCACACAGCACCTATAGCCTCCATTACACGTGCAAAAAGCCTAGGGCAAAAAAAAAAATATATATATATAAAAAAAATATCCAGCACCTGGCACTCGTTTATTATTTTATACTAAACACAGATGTTCTCACAAATAAATGTCAAGAACAGCAGGTAGACTTTTCCCAAACAGGCAGCAAAGCCTCATTACTTCCTCAAAACAAGGCGAATATAATGCAAATGATCCCTAGGGCTGACTGTTGTTCATGTCGATGCTTGTTCGATTGCTGCTTTCACATGGTGAAAGCGAGAAATCATAATTCCCTGTAAAAATGTTATCTATTCACTGGAATTTTTTTTTTTTTTTTTTTGTGTAATAGATGCGTTTGGGAGATTTTCACAGAAAAGATGTGATTGCAAGATGATAAATGAAAAGTAGGATATTTAAAGTTGTTATTTCAAGAAATAGCTTTATAATTACAGTATTTCTACAAATAAATTAAAAGCAAATGTAAAAAAGGGAATCTTTTTAAAAATATTTATTATTTGAGAAAATGGCATATGCAAGCAAGCAGCTTTAAGATCTTATGTCTGTATTGGTTTTGACAGGTGAATTGAACTTTTTTCCTTTTATTATGACTCAATTTAATGACATTAAACAGACATCGGTTACAGCCTGTTTTGCGTGTTCAGTTTTATGATGTTTTTCTTTTAGTTTATATCTTTGGCTTCTCTACCTGTTTACAATGTATTTGAAGAAAGAAACCAGTCTCACTAGTCACTAGCTATATTAAAACTGCCAAAGGGTGTGCTGAAGTTAAATGCTGATTCACACACATTCATTTGTGTGAAGATGGGTTCATATCTGCTACAGTGCATATTCAGTGCACTCAGCATTAACACCACTAGGGATAAGTTTTTGATAAATACTTTGTGGGGTGCATATATTTTACAGCTTCTGCAAAACACTGCTATCAAAATCTTAAATTGGTAGCAAGCCAGACAACAGCTTTCCTAGTATTCCTCAATCTTAACTTTAGATCACATATAAAGAAAATTATATAAATAAATATATATTTAAATATATATATATATAAACATTTTATTTAACCCAATAGTTGAGTTATATTTGGTGCTTTGTTGGGTTATTTCTAACATTTTTTGGTTGTTTAATAATAGCTCAACCAGTTAGGTCAAATATATATTTTATATATTTAACTAACACATAACAGCTGTTATAATAGACGTGCATTATGTTGTTTTTGCAGTGTAGCGGTTATTTAAGCTTTAACGCAATAATGTTGTTATTATATATTTTTTTTTATCAAATTATCTCTTCCTATTGAGTTTTTATAACCGTTTCACCAGCACTCTTAATTACTGATGATACAAACGCGAGTTTCATAGCCGATCTATATTTAACGGATAAACACGCTAAAGGTCTGGAACTTAAAATGTAATTAAAAATAAAGCATTTTCAATATTTTTTAAAAACTGCATGTTATTTAATCACACAGCCATAATTATAAAATTAATAGTAGTACTGGTAATAGCAACAGTAATACTAGAATGGGATGAAAATGCATTTAATCAAAATAACCCAATGCATTGGGTTAAATTATATGTCATTGGGTTAAAACCCATTGTTGGGAAGGAGCTATAATAACCTATAGTTGGGTTATATGTTGGGGTATTTTTAACTCAAGCATTTTAACTGAGTATAAATATATATAAGATAGAAATATATACGATGGCAGTGGTAAGATGGAGGTGGAGACCATTTTAAACAAGGTTGAAAAACTTGTTTCACCCACCTGGATCTAATCAACAAAAAAGTTTATTCAGCCTGAATGGATTCACAAAGACAAAAGCACACCTGATCTTTGAACATTTATATTAGTTTAGAATCCGCCAATACTCAGGAAGGCATAATGTTTGATGTCTCTCACACCTGGGCTGCTAGAGTTTTGAATTAAGTTAGATTTTTAAAACACAAAGAAGGGATTAACATGGTGGCTCAGTGGTTAACACTGTCACCTCACAGCAAGATGGTTGCTGGTTCGAGTCCTGGCTGAACCAGTTGGCATTTCTGTGTGGAGTCTGCGTATTTTTCTGTGAATGTAAGAGTGTATGGATGTTTCGCAGTACTGGGTTGCAGCTGGAAGGGCATCTGCTGTATCAAAACATATGCTGCATAGGTTCGTGTTTCATCTCACTGTGGCGACCACTGATAAATAAAGTGACTAAACTGAAGGAAACTGAATGAATGAATGAATGAATGAATGAATGAATGAATGAATGAATGAATGAATGAAAATGTGTAATGTCATTTTCTCAAAGAAAATGTAAAACTTATAATAAGCGATATGAAGGCAAAACAAGGTTTACAAGGTTTCCTCTGGGTGCTCCAGTTTCCCCAGCAATCCAAAGACATGCATTATAAGTGAACTGAACAAACTAAAGTGGCCACAATGAATGAGTGTGTATGGGTGTCTCGCAGTAGTGAGTTGTGGCTGGATAATCATCCGCTGCATAAACCATATGCTGGAAAAGTTGGTGGTTTATTCTGCTGGGGCGACCTCTGAAATACAGATTAAGCCAAAGGAAAATGAATGACTAAAAACACAAGAAAAGGATCTAAGAAAGGATCTAGTCCTTTAAGAGCAAAGATGGGCAGAGGTTTGCTAGTTTGCCAACAAGTACGTGAGAAAATTACTGGAATGTTTAAAAACAATGTTCTTCAAAGAAAGATAGGAAGACATTTTGATATTTCACCTTCAACAGTGCATAACTTAAATAAAAGATTCAAGGAATCTGGAGGAATTTCAGTGCATAAAAGACAAGGGCGAAAGCCTAAGCTGAACTACTGAGATCTTTGATCGCTCAGGTGCCACTGCATCAACAATCCTCATTCATATATAAGCAATATCACCACATGGGATCAGGACTAGTTTGGCAAACCTTTGTCTAATACCACAATACATAGTTACATCCACAATTGGCAGTTAAAATTGTACAGTGACAAAAAGAAGCCCTATGTTAGCAGTGTTCAGAAGGGTCATTGACTTCTCTGGGCTCAGAGGCATCTGGGATGGACCACCACACAGAGGAAATGTGTACTGTGGTCAGATGAATCAGTATTTCAGGTAGTTTTGGGGAGAAATGAACACTGTGTGCTCCTGACCAAAGAAGAGAAGGATCATCCAAACTATTTCCAGCAACACGTATAAAAGCCAGGGTCTGTCATGGTATTGGGTTGTGTTAATGCCCTTGGCAAAGCTAACTTGCACTTCCGTGATGACACAATTATTGCTGAAAAGTACATAAAGATTTTGGAGCACATATGCTGCTGTCATTTCTAGGAACGCCAAGAATAGGATACAGGTACTTCAGTCTCCAGTAGAGAATGTGTTACATATTTTGAAGCACAAAATGCAACAACAGAAAAAAGCAATGACAACATTACAAAGTGGTAATGCTTTACTATTCCAACTTTTTTGAACTGTGTTGCGCAAGAAACAAAATTGGAACAAGTTAATAATAAAAAATAAATAAATAAAAAACTGATGAGGTTTCACAATAAACAATGTGCTTCTGTATTGTTTGCAATGAAATACAAGTCAAAGTAAAAAAAATGACTTCTTTCTTTTTATCAGCATTTTTCTTACTGTCCCAACTTTTTTTCTGATTTGGGTTTGTAAATTTGTAAAATAAATAATAAATAAATAAAATAATAATAATAATAATAATAATAATAAAAAATATCGATTCAACGGCTTCTGTTTGATAACATAGGCCCAATTTTCCAGTCAAGTAACTTCAAAAAGTTACACACACATTTAACTTATTCTGTGTTATTTTCTATATGTACTCAGATGTAAATGTAGATTTCAAAACTGTTAACATGTTCATGACAATTGATGGTAATGTCATAAATCCTACATGATGACACAAAAAATCAATTAGTCAACTTGCAGAGGAACTGAAAAACCATGGCTTATGAATAGCGTGCTGTATCTTGTGAGGTCTGTTTACTGGTGATTCCTCTCTAGCAGAGTCAATCTGATGAATCCCTGTCATGCATGGATCTCTGTAGTGATGCTCTGGAAGAGAGTGGTTCTTGAGAAGACGTTCTGGTATGTGTATACCTGCCCACAAGAAAACAAAGAAACAGCAGACCAGCAGTATTCATGCATAAACTTGTATGATCATATACTGGTTATATATTAATTTGGTGACTGTATAATATTGTGTATTTTCTGTCTCATAATATTTAAAGTTATGACAACTTTAAAACAGTGAGGTAATTATGGACTAATGAAAGGTTGTCAGTTATCGTTCTTTGACAAAATCTATTTTTATATCAGCAACCCCTGATTCATAAGTTTACACTTAGCTTATGATTGTCTATAAAGCTTGTTTGGCATGCTGTCCCGGGAGAAAGCCCTAAGCTCATAAGATCCTCGACCCTGGGGCTCCCTCCCATTTGCAAGATGAAAGGGGAATTTGAGCTCAGGTAGATCTCGAGATCTTCCCTGCTGTAGTAGCTAATGAACAGATAGTGATTGCTCTTAAGAGATAACTATTCACTAGAAGCATGTCTATGATGCTGATTTGGATTAGTCAATTAACTTAGGTTGCATGTTTTTTGATGGTGGGAGAAAACCGAAGAACCCGGGGGAAACCCACGTGAACACAGGGAGAATGTGTAAACTCCGCACAGAAACGTCGGCTGGCTTGGTAAGGACTAGAACCACCCATATAGGAAAGGAGGAGAAGTAGGGGCGGAAGGGGGGATTCCTCAAAACGAAAATGGCTGTTAAATGGATCTTGGGGTACTTATAGTGGCTTAGGAATCGTCTGATTGGTGAATCATAATTTAAATAATGTGGGGCTGGCTGCAAGCAATCATAATGATCCTCTCGAAAGTAGTTTATAAATAAACTTCACTTAATAAAGAGACTAAGCTGAAAAGAAAATGAATGAATGCATTGGTATACAGTAGTTCACGGTGGCTCAGGGGTTAGCATTCTCACCTCACGGCAAGAAGGTAAGTGATTGTAGTCCCGGCTGAGCCAGTTGATGTTTTTGTGTGGAGTTTGCATGTTCTCCCAGTGTTTGCGGGGGTTTCCTCCAAGTGCTCCAGCTTACCCCAAAATCCAAAGCCATGCACTTAGGTGAATTGGATGAACTAAAAATTGCCCATGTATGAGTGTGTGTGTAAATGAGAGATTGTATGGGTGTTTCCCAGCACAG